ATCTTAGTGGTTAGTATCCATTTCTTGATTACACATTTATAAGTAGTAAATTGCACACTTGAATTACTGCAATTATGGTGTTTTTCATGTGCAATTATGTTGAGAAAGCTTGTATTTGTGTCAACACAGATCAAATGTTTGTCCTTGTTTGACCATGGAAACAATTGTAATTGTTAATTGTCTTTGTGTTAATGCATATTTTGTTGCTAAACGCACTAGTATATTGAGCTTTTAGCCTTCTAGGTCCTTTTGAGTTTCCAGTGAAGTTGTTAATTTGTTTGTTGGATGCCCTTTGACTCCTTGCAAATGCACTAAACTGGGATCTACATCTATGTTTGTACAGTTAATCTGCTCAGACAAATTGTGAAATGAATTCCTGGCTTTCCATTTGAAGTGACAAATGATATTTTGTTGATTTTGACTCATTTGTTGTGTTTCATGTTGATCTATCCATGGCTAAAGCTGAAGATGATGGTGTTGAGGCTGTAAGTGCTATTATAAGCATCCTTCGCATGCAACCTTGCAAGGTCAGTCTTTTTTATCATTCTTTTTCCTATCAAATGAATGCAGGAGCAGGATTATCGATGTTCTTTTGAATGTAGGACCCTAACATTCTGAGCAGTGACTGCTTATGGTTTTGATCTTGTTCGTGGAAGCTAAATTACATCTTCTTGTCAAGAAAATAGTAGCTGATGAAGCGATCGCTATCTTTGTGTTGTCGGATTTCAAATCATAGTGCATCGTAGAAGCACAACCTTTAGCCTTCAGGTCTGGCCTAGTCCTGTCTGCCCAGAACCAAAAGACCAGCTCCTTTGCCATCTTTGTTCTTCTCCATAGTAATTGTAGTGTTTGCTCTGTACCTGTTAATCTCTCCTATATTCATGAAAACCAAACAAAAACATTGTCAATTAATTGCAATCAGCAATAATGTAAATTGCAACTACCGAGCACCGCAATTGTAGTTTTGAGCATTTGCAATATGTGAAAATTTTAGTTACCTCATGACTGTAATTGACATTTACATTGTTTCAAGCAAATTTGTGATAACTTTCAATGTTCATTTCCAAATCCCTTGAAATACCAACATGCAAGTCAAAAGAGGAATGGATTAGCTTACAACTTAGTAGTTCATATATAATTCAATGCCAAAAGGTTTTCCATAGACTGTGAGTATGGGCCTAAGACCTGTCTGGATGCATAGTCGATGGACCTAACTTTCCTGACATACCTATTAAGAATCTATGTTAACCATTTTGTCTGAAACATCTCATTGAGCTCATAGTCTATCCCTTGCGACTTGAGGGTAATTATTACATTGGGATGCAACCCCAGTGTGATGAAGGATCAGCTAGATATTTTGCTAAACATTTTTCTATATCTATAAATTAAACTCGTGTCATCGTATTGTTATGGTTTATACTCGAACCTAATCTATGTGTCTAAAGAAGAAAATGTTCCACTTCATCGGCTCATGACACTGACCGAAAAAGAGTAGTTTTTGTTATTTGGAAACTATTAACAGAGAATTTTCTCACATACAGAATATCGAATTTTGAGATAAGAAAACCTCAACTTGCAAAATATGCTCTAGCTACTTTCAAGTTGTCTTGGTGCAGTACTACAGAAATAAGATGCATCCACAATAATACTACTGAATTTTTTTGTTTGTTGTTCTTCTCCATAGTAGTTGTGGTGCTCTATTCCTATTAATCTTTCCTGTTCATGAAAACAAAACATATAAAACATATAGTTAATTAATTGCAATCAGCGATGATGCAAATTGCAGGTATTGAGCACTGTAATTTTAGTTCTGAGGATACGCAATATGTCCCAACACGTACCACATTTTTGTCCTTGTCTTCATGCAGAAAAAAAATTGTAATATGTTAATTGTGATTTGTGCCAACATATTTCAGTTATTTGTCTTTGTCCTTCTATAGATAAAAATTATAGTATGTTAACTGCGATTTATGCCAACACAGACCACATTTTTGTCCTTATCTTTCTATAGAAAAAATTGTAATATATTAACTGTGATTTGTGCCAACACACACCATATTTTTGTCCTTGTCCTTTCATAGAAAAAAAAATATTTTTTGTGATTTGTGCCGACAAATTTGTCTTTGTGTTTCTATAGAAAAAGTTGTAGTATGTTCATTGTGATCTGTGCAAGCCCACACCAAATTTTTGTCCTTATCCTTTCATAGAAAAAAATTATTTCTTATGATTTGTGCTGACACAACTTTTTCTTTGTTTATTGTGATTTGTGCTTAACCAAGCCAAGTTTTTCTCCTTGTCCTTTCATAGAAAAAAAAATCTCTTGTGATTTGTGCTAACACTTCATGAACTTTGTTAACTCTAATTTGTGCCAACCACATCTTATTTTTGTCCTTTTCCTTACATAAAAAATTATTTATTATGATTTGTGCTAACACATATTGAAGTTTGTTTTTTGTGATTTGTGCTAGCACACACCATATTTTTGTCCTTGTCATTAAAGGACGTACCCAGTGCAAAGAGCTCTCGCTCTGTGCGGGGTATGGGAAAGGATGTTAGTGGCAAGCCTTACCCTTGCCTGTGCAATACGAGGAGACCACGACTCGAACCCGGGACCTTCCGGTCACAGGCGGTAAGACTCTACCGCTTGCACCAGGTCCGCCCTTCATTTTTGTCCTTGTCATTTTATAGAAAAAATTGTTACTTATGATTTATGCCGACCCATTTAAGATATTTGTGCCAGCACACACTATATTTTTGTTATTCTTTTTTATTGTAATTTGTGATCTCCAATAGCTGGATCTTCTTTTATATAAAAGATTTGTACTATTTTTTAGCTTATCACTGTCCATACTAATTTTTCATTAGTACTTAGGGAATCCTTGTCTGCAATTATGTAGAGGTTGTGTGCCAGGTTCTATTTAAATATGAGCTGAACTGTAGGAGTATGTATGCTGCTACTAGTTCCCACTTGTTCCTAGGCACCTGTGTCCCTACACCACACCACAGTCCGCAGCACTAGTTGGGCTTTTGTACTAGGGAGGAAAGGATAGGGGAGGAAGATAAGTTAGAGAGAGAGAGCAAGGAGTGTTGTTTCTTTTTTCTTCTTTTCTTGGCCTTTGTGCTGCTGTGGGCTGTGGCTGAAGGCCCTGAACCCTGCAGGTGTGGCCCTGTTCTTTCTTGTGAGGAAATGGTAGGCGGTAACTGAGATTGTGTCAGCGGAGGCAGGATTGAGGAATTTATGGTTGATTAGATAATTGGGGCCTCTGGGACTGCGTGTGTATGTGTGACAGAGAGTGACAAGGGAGAGGAGAGGTCGTGCCTGCTTTGAATTTGATGCCGAACTGAAGCTTATAGTTGTGGAGTGGATTGTTAATTCGTGAGTAGATGTGAAAGTGCCAGCACAAAGAACATTGTGTCCTGTGTCGTACACCACATTGTTCTGATCTGTTTTGTATAGATGAGATTTATATTTTTTAGCTAAGCACTTTCCCTATTAATTTCCATTAGCACTTAGGGAATCCTCACTGCTTAAGGAATCCTCACTACTTATTGATTTGTACTAATTAAACTATGGTGTTTTTATTGGTGATGTGATCATTCTTACGACATGCATTGATAAGAAGGTTGGATTTTTGGAGTAGATGTCGTCCAAGCTATTCTATTACCAAGTGACTTATTGTAAGTTCACACTTATACCTTAGACCTTGTTTGTGTCATTGTGTTTAAGGTATCATAAGGAACCTTGGTATAGGAAATGGTGATCGAGCAGCATGCTAGGGCCATTGGAGGTGTACAAGTACTTGGTTGAGGAACTAGGGCGTGATCCAAATATGGCTGCAACTGGAGGGTCATGTTAAGGTTCTTTCTACCTCTTTTGTGCTTCTGGAAATTGTATTCTCTCATGTGTGAACCTTTGGCATCTGGCAGTAAATAAATTATTGTATCCCAGTTTGTCATTCTTTTTATGTACACCATTCTGTCCTGTTTAATTGTACTATCAGTAGGCTCTACATTCATGAGCTGGATTCAGGGTTGCAGGCTGTTCGGGTGCTTGTATCAGCCGCTGCTGCTAGTTCAATGCTAGAGTAAAATATTGATTTCCAAATCTCTTGCCAAAGCACCCTGCATATAAAAAGATAACTTGTTGTGTGCCAACATAGACAAAACATTTGTTTTCTTGTCTTCCTATAAGAAAATTAGTTTTGATCTGTGCCGACACAGAGAAAACTTATTTGTCCTTGCCTTCCTATAGAAAAAATTGTTAGTTGTTATTTGTATCAACAGCCCTTTGGGCACTGGCCTGGAAATCCCTTTGGACTATCAGCCTTGGCGTTAGTGTTCCTAATAGCGTGCCATGGCCTTGATGAATCTTGATTGATCATTCAAGAGGATAGACATGCCAAATCATTACCATGAGCATGCTGTACTTTTTTGGTCATGTGTGTGAAAGCTTCTCTATGCGTGTGCTATTCACATGTGAGCAGACCATTTCTTTCTATGTGCACATGTGCGTATCAATCGATTTTCCCATGATTGGAGAGGCCTTTCTTTCAATCCTAACAAAAAACTAAGATTGGGAGTGGGTTTTGGCAACTATTGGAGATGCTCTGATTGGGAATAGAGGTCGTCCGCATATCTTCGCTGCTAATGGATGGTTGGAACATGAATACTTCTCCTGATGTGCTGCAGTGGTGATCTTCTTCCCCTGCAATTGCCAAAATACTATCATTGATCTATTGCACTTAGATATCCATGTATCTAAACGTTTATCAAAACACAGATCCTGCATTGATCTATTGCACTGCATACATGTATACTATTATTGATCTATTGCACTTAGATCCTGTGACCAGTTCATTGTATCTATACGTTATGGATCTAAACGTTTTGTTGACACTTGTACTTTTGCAGTAGTACTCATGGTTTTTTGAAGGCAGTAGTACTCATGGTTTGCCCCTTTGTTATTTTTCTAGGGTCCCCCATTATCAGGCAGATATGACATGGGTGCAATCTGTATGATGGATCACTCTGAGAAACTTCAGATTCTTGTTAACGATGCTCTAGACAAAGGTGCCGAAATTGCCGTCAGAGGGAGCTTTGGCAATCTTGGTGAAGATGCAGTTGATCAATTTTTCCCTCCAACTGTCCTGGTGAATGTTGATCACACGATGAAAATAATGCAAGAAGAGGTAAGCTGGAGTCGATCTTTGATTTCCTTTAGTACAAGTGATACTACAGTTAATCTTAATATTGTCAGTTGCTGCTCAACAGGCATTTGGACCAATTCTACCAATCATGAAATCCAATTCTGATGAAGAGGCTTTTCTATTTGCATACATGTAAAGTACAATTGCATTATCAAAAAGTAATAGTTGCACTAACACAAATGTGCATTTTTCTAGTGTATGGTCTGAAGTTTTCAACGTCATATATATGGTTCATTGTTTACTCAGTACAAATGATTAGGCCTTCATTTTTATGCAGTTTTCTGTGTGTTTTGGCTCACTGTGTAAAGCCCAACTCAGTGTGAAGAAATAGGCCCATGTTTATTCATCTGGCACACCACAGCAAGCTTAACGGGTTTTTTAGGACCCGTTAACAAGTATATCTGTGTTCTGGGTTTGGCTGCGGACCGTTGTCTCCTTGTAAACAGATTGGTTAACGGGTTTTTTGGCGGGCCCGATAAGGGATAACAGTACGTATCGGGTATATTCGGACCCGCTATGAATGCAAAGCGTACAGAAACAACCAGGACAGATCCTAAGCGTTGGATGGAGATCTAGTGGCCTGTAGCAGTCGCCTGAAAAAATGTTAGATTTCAGGCTCCTGAAATATAGCGACTCTCATTATTAGCGTAGTATCCTACTATCACGCTGCGCATCTACAGTGACAACCGTATAACAGTCGGCTATAGAGACACGCCAAACCATCACCAATTGGCCCACTACCGCGTCGTGCCATCTCCACTGGCTGATAGGCCCGGTTAACACTGGTTTATTGTGAAAGGAAAATATTGTATGCTGATAAGTTTTTGGCTGAAACCTTTCAAGCGAACGTGAAAGAGCCGGAAGGCAACGACGGAAGCAACCAGGCCAGCGACAAGGCAAAACCGGACGACCATCACACACGGCGCCACCTGGTGGAACGGCATTGGAGATGATGACAGGGATCCCAATCTGCAAGAGACCGGCGTAGTGGAGAGCTTGGCAGGCGACCAAGGGCGCCCGCGGCAAGAAGAGCATCAGGTGGCCCGTTGCCAGCACGGTCGCCGCCATGTAGACGCACGTGAGCATGTGGCCCGGCACCAGCCACGTGGTGTCGGCGCCGGCGCCGGCGCCGCCGATGATCGCCGAAAAAACTGCTGTGCCGATGAAGGCAGACGTCAAGACGATGAGGACCAGCCACTCCGCGGGACGGGACCACCTCCGACTCCTCGATCGTCATTTCTGCTGCTGGCGGCGGCGGCCGTGACAGCCACGGCAGCGCCATGACCAACTGAATTGCCGCGCAGGGTGGTGGTATGTCCGGCTGATTATTCGAACTCGTCGATGCCGCCGCCGGAATAGCCATGGGTACCTCCCTCCGATGATCCGATCCACACCGGTCAGCAATTTAGTTTGTTGGTTCCGAGCTGCGAAGACGATGGACCGAGACGAGCGATTCTTCTTTCTTCCCTGATTTTTATATCTCGGCTCGGCTTTTCATCGATCGATGGTTTCGTCCATCTTGTATTCTAGCTGCTGCTTATAAATATTGGCCAGGCAGGCAGCCAGGGGAGTCAGCCTGGGCACATTTAGACCGAAAACCGAGAACCGAACCGAAACCGAACCGAACTGTCGGTTTTTCGGTTCGGTTTCTGGTTCTGGGAACTACGGTTATCGGCTCGGTGTTTGGTTTGTACGTAAAACGAAACCGTAGAACCGAGCAACCGAACGACATTCATCAAACTTCCTCTCCTCTCGCCAGAGCACCCCGGCCCAATTAACAGGCCCACTCGGCCACTCCACCGGACCACCGCTTCGGCCCCGCCCCCACGCGAGATGAGACGACGAGACAGACACCCAAGCGGGCGAGCGGCCAGGAGCAAACTTGCCCCAAACCCTACCGGGAGAGAGCGGCGGCGGCGCGACGGCCATGCGAGCAGGGAGCGACATGGGCGGTACAGGTGCGACTTCGCCGACGAAGCTACACGAAAGCGCCGAGTGGAGCAGCGAAGTCGCGCAGCACTAAAGCGGCTGTGAAGCGCCTGCCGCTGGCTGCCTGGCGGCGCTACGAAGCGCCTGCGCTGAAGCGAAGCGAAGCGAGTGGCGGCTGCGAGCGCCGGAGCTAGCGAGCGGCGCAGCAAGCACGGAGAGAGCTGCTGACGCGCATGCCGCCGCGGAGAGCGGCACAGGAGCGACTTCGAGTGAGATCAGCGAGGAGCGGAGCAGGTCAGCAGGAAGACTTCGGTCATCTCAGTTTAAACCGAAAAGCCGAATTAGAAAACTGAAACCGAACTCGTCGGTTTTGCATTTTTGAAATAACCAATCGGGTGTTCATTGTTGGAAACCAAAGTTTACTAAAACCGAACAAACCAAACCGAATTTTTGGTTTAAACCGAATGCCCAGTCTGACAGGGGAGTCGAAATCGAATCCATCTATTTTTTATGAGGAAATACTAATAACGCACAGTACGAGTACGTCTACGACTCTACGTGTGCGTGTTGGATATGAGATGAGCTAAGCTAGATATTTCCTTGCTTGATTTCCTTCCACTTTCAGCCCGACAGGCGGCGTCGTTTGCGTGCCCCTGCAAATACAAATACAAATACAGAGCATCCCGTGGAGCCCAACCACTCGAGCACTCCTTTGTCGCCTCCAACGTCCACTCTATCCAAAGACAAGATAGTTGGAGGATTGCACAGTTGCACATTTTGCTTCCCTATTGCACACAGGCAATCAAAATACACCTAAAACTTAGCAGCTGGCAAAATTTATAGCAATCTTCGCTATCCCTCAAGTTTAACCGCAAGACTCCAGTTGGATGACACCCTCACCGTCATCCTCATTCTATTGAATAAACTGGCGTCTGAGACTAATTACAAAATTCAGAGATGTCGGAGACTGACAGTAACGCAAAGAGTTAACTGCAGAACTTATTGTTGTTTAACTGTTTATTACAAAAAAAAAACCCTGTTCCAATGAAAATGAATGTTCTTATTCTTCTAAGTTACAACATTACAGCAAGCCTGTATACAACTCCGAAACATACAAACTTTAGCAAACTGAGATAAAATTCTGGCAAACTAGGCAAATCTGATTGTGTTTGTTGAAACAAATACGCTAACAACTCAAGCAAACCTATAACACTTGGAGAAATTATTCTGTAACCTATGGGTCAACAGAAGTTAGGGCCGCTACAACCGAACCTGTTGTGCTGAACGCGATGCTAACGTCCGTGTAATCTTTCAAGCACCTGCTTATTTTTGTGGATGGGTACAGCCAGGGCTTGACAGCGTCAACAAATGTGCCGGGATCCGGAGACAGAATCGCCTCCCAATCAACTTGGACATCGGGTGGGATGCTGGCAGTAATATCCATGTTTGCTGCCAGGAATAAACCAAGCAACACTACGTAGCCAACAACAGCCGAGCCTCTCGAGAGAGGCATAAAATTGTACCTGCAAAATCCCCCCACATTGATTGGGGTCATTTTGTTGGAGTGAAGAGAAAGGGACAGTAGGAGTTGTGATCATTACCAGTAATATGTCATCCGCAATATGGCGTCCTTCACAGCATCAAGCATACCAGGGTCTCGTGTGGGGTTTGTGTCATTACAATATGCTTCACAAATAGCCTGCAGATCACAACAAATGTCTTAGCTTCATCATAGACTATAAGCAATACAAGTCTCAAGCACATGTGTGGTCTGATAACTCTTTTCATTACATCCATTCTAGAAATGCAATCGAAGAAAAAATCTGGTATTAAGGGAAGTGTGGTATTGTACAGTTGGAGAATGCCATGCTCTGTAAACACTGCCCATATCAAACCTTCTCCAAACTCCAATTCTTAGTAAAAAAAATGCAAGTCATAAGAAACATTACAATAAATCAGAACTGTACCTCCCAGGCTGCAGTCATTTCTTCATCATACTCCTCCCATCTCGATGGCGTGCAAGGTGTTCGTATTGCAAAGTCAAATCCTGTCTTGCCCCTGCAGTACCATCACACAGTAAGCTGGATAGCAGCAGGATATAGACAAAAAGAGCAAAATAGAAGAAGAAAGTGTCTAGGAAACTTACATGTTTTGAGTGGTAATTCTTGTCCCTTCAAGACGCCTCCTGAAAGAAAGCATGTTGTGTTAGTATGTAAGCAAAGGCATAGCGTGATACTCTTTTTCTAAGTACTTTCTCTGAAGTCTGATGTAGGTAGAATTAGTCAATTACCCCCGAGACGCCATACTATCACATCTTGTAGCAACCCAGTAGGTCTCACCAACTACATGGTACAAATCTGAGCATGACGATGCAACTTCTATCTGCAGGAGTAATCTCTCATGAGAACATAGATTTTCAAAAACACAGCATAACTTCCATATTACCGAAATGCTATGACAAATTACTATTAGAATCAATCAAATCCTAGCCATCTTGCTCAAAAGGAAATCAGCCCTTGACATGTAAGAAATAGATCTAATGGAGCGATAAAAAATACTATTACCACTCTGATGTGTCAATCCATTTCGAAACATGCTAACAGGTTCAGCATAATGAGACTAGGTGGGGCTGCAATCTCTTGCTCCAATGGGAGGTATACCAGATGGTTTCACAGAATGGTGGCAAACTGCAACTAAGAGGTTGGTGAAGGAGCAACGCAGCAGATTTCATTCCATGGTCATCTTGTGCACATGGAGGATTTGGAAACAACAGAACATATGCATCTTTGAGAGGGCAGTGCTCAGCGTGCATACTGTCATCAGGTTAGTGTTGGAGGAAGTTAAGCCTCTGGTGCATGGCAGGGATGGAAGGGAAAATGTTATCTGCTCTGCTGCACTGATAGCATTCCTGGGTTATTTTTTCCTTTTGTGTGTGTGGTGCAAATGTTCAGTTAGTAACCCCTGTGTACATTTGAGTGTTTTGTTTTTGTTTTTGTGCCGTGGGGTGTTTGTATTTGCAACTTCTTTTCATCTACTTAATACAGTGACTGAGAAAATGAATGGAGACATTGATATTGACCATGAGCTCATGTAATGTAACTCGACAGACTGCTGCATGGCTCACCTTTTTCAACTTCTCAATATCTGTAAGAAAAATTGCACGGTCCTCTGCATTATTGACATACTTAAAGTCAAGCATTATAGTCT